GATGTTAATAGTAAAAAAATCCAAAACAACACAAAAAGAACTGCTGAAAATCAACTTTCAAATCGGTAATTTTTAAAATAAAATTTCAATTAATGCATTTTGGTGATAAGTTATATTTATGTTCCTTTTTTTAGGACAATTAAAAAATGTAAGCTTTCTGTGACTAAACATAATAATGCTCAAACATTTTGCAAAAATAGTTTCCATAAACATTCAAACACCTTACAGTCTTCCAAATTTAATTGGTAATGTACATTTTTTATTTTGTACTTTTCAAATATTACCAGTTATTTAAAATTATTTTTTATTTTTTAGTTCAAGTTTCACTAATAATATTCCCGAGAAAATACCAACAAGTAAAAATAATATGTATGTTACAATATTTATAATTTTGTTAATTTTAAGTTAAAATGTTTGATAAAATTAAATTTTTGTGTCAGTAATTCAATAAATCAACCATATTCGCCAAAGGCACCACCATGTATCATCTCATTATTATCATCTGACGATGAAGACGAAGAATTGGTAGTTTCAAAACTGAGGTATATTTTTAAAGTTTGCTTTATAGACTAAAATTTAAATTTAAATAATTTTTATTTTATAATTTTCAAATATTACCAGTTAATAGTTATTTAAAATTATTTTTTATTGTTTAGTTCCAGTTTCAATCATAATAATCCTGAGAAAAGCCCAACTAGTCAAAATAATATGTAAGTTAAGTACAATATTTATAATTTTATTAATTTAAAGTTTAGTTGTTACACGTTCACACATCTCTTTAAAAATTAAAATAACCGATGTCCACTATAGTTGACATGCAACCTATTTAAGTAAATAGGGTTTCCTGATACGTAGTTTTTTTTAACAACCATAATATAAATTGTATGGTTTTAAATGTTTTAATCGACATATTTTTCTATATCATTCGGTATCATTCGTTTTTGAATAGCTCCACTAGATCGCGTTTTATTTAATTCACAAAGTTATTAAATGCAAGCTGTTACTGTACCTACTCTGGGTTTCTCGATCGTACAAACATTTGCTTACACGTCTGATAACGTTGGTAATCATTCCGAATCTTTGATATTATAACACATTATTATGTTACATGAATATTGAATACGTCATATTCATTGTTCAAATGAAATAGAATTTTTTCAAAAGATTGTATTACAGTAATACAGTTTCATTTTTTGCGATGAGTACTAATGAAATCTCAGATCTGCTTGACTTGTCTAGTTCAGATTCGTTTGACGATGATTATAGTTCTGATGAGTATGTCCAACAAGATTCAGATAACAATAATAGTGATGAAATTATTGAAGATTCGGATACAGACGTTGAAATCACAGATAATGATTGGAATTCAGATATAAATACTATCCCTGAGTTATTTGATTTTACTGGTAATTCTGGATTGCAATGCACTTTATCAAGTAACAATCCTCTTGATTATTTTTTGATGATAGTATTATGAATAATATAGTGACTTGGGTAAATTTGAAAGCAAACATTTTAAGATTTCAAGGTTAAAAGAAATGCTCAAATTTAAATAGTTGGAAAAATATTGACTTATATGAATTGAAAAAGTTTATTGGTCTCAGTTTACTTATGGGTATTCATAAACTCCCTGCTATACATTTATATTGGTCACAATCAGAAATTGATTATTATCCAATTTATGGCCAAACTCTTAGTCGAAATCGTTATGAAACTATTTTGAGATGCTTATGCTTTAATGATTCATTTACAACAGATAAGTCTGATCGTTTACACAAAATTAATAATTTCCTTGGTCCTCTAATTTCTAATATTCAAACTAAATAGGTACTATCCTAAAGAATGTTTGTCATTAGATGAATCTATGCTTCTGTGGAGAGGAAGGTTAAGCTTTAGACAGTATATCCTTAGTAAAGCACATAAATATGGAATAAAATTTTTTGAACTTTGTACTGATGATGGGTTCATTTTAGATTTGATTATTTATAAAGGTAAAGGTACAGTAACAGATTCAAGAGGAGTGACGTTTGGTATTGCGGTTAAACTAATGAGGAACTATTTAGGGAATGGCCATATACTGTATATGGATAACTATTATAATATTGTACAATTAGCTGAGTATTTATATAAAAATAAAACTTTTTTTTAAGTTGGAACTTAAAAAAAAAAAATAGAAAAGAAAATCCTAGTATGACTAGTATAACTGCTGCAAAATTAAAAAAAGATGAAGCAGTTCATGCACAAAAAAATAATGTACATGTAACAAAATGGGTTGATAAAAGAGAAGTGTGTATGATATCAAAAAAACACAATTTAGATTTTAAAAAATATAGACAAAAATTCAAACTTACTGTGATTGTTGACTATAATAATCACATGTCAGGAATAGACAGAGCTGATCAAATGATAAGCTACTATCCAATGCCCAGGAAATGTATGCGTTGGTATATCAAAGTATTTTTTCATTTAGTGGATATCTGTTTATGGAACTCCAACTACTTATATAATTTACAAGTATTAAAAACTTCCCATCTAGAATTTAGAAGACAAATTATAAGTTCTTTACTTAATGTTCCATTGAATAAAAGATCATCATGCAACCCTAAATCTTTAACAATAAATGAAACTCAAAGTAAACCATTACACAATATACAAAAAGTTCAAAAACGAAAAAGATGTAGGGTATGCCATGCTAATAAAAAAAGAAGCACAACTTTTTTATATGTGAGACTTGTAAAGATGAAAAAGGAAATACTATAGCTTTATGTGCAGATCTTTGTTTCAAAATGTATCATACAAAATAGTTAGATAAATAATTTATTTTTATGTAGTTTTTTTAATATAAATATAAAAAAAGTTTTGTTTTTTTTTAAATGTTTTAATTTAGATTTATATATAAACTATATAATTTCAAACTATAATTACACTGATAAGCTAAAGAGAAGACAAGACAAGTGATACTACAAGTTACATACATTGAAAATTTAAATATTGTTATTTGATTTTTTGTTAAGTTTTTATTATGTTGTACAAAGGTGTGTTGATTATTTTTATTTTTAATGGTTTATTTCATATCTATGAGGATTGTATCAATTTTAATTTTATAATTAAATTATTATAACTATTGTTTTATTTATTTGTTAGTATTTTTATATTATTTTCTATGTCAATCATAGTTGATAAATGGATTTTTATAATGAGTATCCTAAAAAAAATCGGTGTCAACTAAGTTGACATGAAAGTTAGAGCTTTTAAAAGTTGTACATAATTAAATTTGTTATTTAAGCAGTGAAATTAATTTATTTCTGTAAAAAAAAAATAATTTTTCCAAAAATTTATTTTTGGTTATTTATAAGGATACACAATTTGCATGTGGTCATGAACGTGTTAGATAAAATTAATTTTTTGTATCAGTAATTCAATAAATATACCCAATCAAGCCGGCATAGTCAAATCATATAAACAAACAGTTATTCCACAACATCAATCTATTCCGCCACAGGAACCGTCCGGTGTCATCTCTTTATTGTCATCCGAAGATGAAGATGAAGATGAAGATGAAGAATCCTTAGAATCCATTATTACTAAAATCGAGACAAAACAAACATTAAAGAAACAAGCTGACAAATTATGTTGTATGGCTCATGTATATTTATAACTAATTTATGATACACAGTAATAAATACGAATTTTTTTTTAGTGAACCGTAAATTTTTGGAAGATCGATTATGGCAGAAAGACATAAATGTAAATAAAGTAAATTTTATCTTAATTTTTTAATTAATCTTTATAATTTATTAAAAGTTAACAAAGTAAATTGAAATTATTTGCTTAAAATTGATATACTAAATCAGTTTTTGAAGTAATATATTTTATCTTTGTACCAGAATTCTAAATAATGGTTCTGCTGAATATAAATTTTCTATGTGATACGTTAAGTTTAACTCGGTCTTCTTTAAAAATAATATTTACTTTACTAATAATATTTAAATATAATTATGTTTAATAAATATTTATACTATTTGATTGGTCGCCGCGACAAATCTTGCGATGTATGAGCAGTTGTTTGCCGCGACTCGCGTGGACTTTGAATTAGGTTACCAAAATTAATAACAACATATATTATAATAATACCGCATGCGGGCGCTAGACTGTACCCTGGGTATATGTATATAATATGTATAATAATAACATTACAAATAATAATAACCACAATAGTTTTCAAAGAAAGGCCGCAACACCACGGAATGACAATATATATATATTTATAATAATTAGTGGCTACTGCACACACAGAAGTATAGAAATAATAATTATGACCTGGTGGCAACAGCAGCAGGATCCACCGGAACAACACGTTCAATGTTTCACACCTCGTGAACCACACGAGGTTTGAATAAAAATGTAATGTGATGAAATTGGTGAGCGAACGCCACGATGCGTTCGACTCGACCGTTGGGAAAAGACAGAAAAAAATTGAATTACTAGGCAGTAGGCGGCTGATCGCTTGACCACCGGTCGGCGAGTTGTCGTCGGATGGCGGAGGGGGAGCTTGTATATTGGTCGCGTTTTGTGGGGTCCCGCGCAAGCTCAAAGGCGGCAAAAAGTGTTCCGCGTTCAAACACTATTTTATGATAACATTTAACTTATTTAAATTATTTTTAATTATTTATAGTAAATTAACTAGAGATATTTAAAATTAAACTTTTAGAATAGAAGTCTCGAAAAAGAAGAAGCTGAAGAAAACGAGAGAAGATATAATAGTGTTACGTAAGTTTGAAATTGTTTTAACATGTTAAATTTTATATTTGAACTTCTTATATTATTTTCTAGAATACTTAAAGATAAATTAGGCAAGAGGTCTGCAACTATCAAAATAAGTGATTATAAAAGGTTGAATTCAAATAAATTTTTAAATGATATTCTCATTGAATTTTATTTAGAGTAAGTAATTTTAAATTAAATTATTTAACTAATAATTATGAATAATATTATGAAAAATGTTATTTGTGTTAAAGTTATTGGTTTAATCAAAAATTAAGTAATGAAGATAGAAACCGAACGTATGTATTTAGTACATTCTTTTATACAGCTCTGGCTAAATCATTCAATACCTCTGATTATCCATCACATTTCACGGCATCGCAGATAAGACACGAAAAAGTAAAAAAGTGGACTAAAAATGTAAACATATTCGATAAAGATTTCACTTTTATACCAATAAATGAAAAGTAATGATTAATATAAATTTTAATTACTTGTTTAAAATCAAACTTAAAATTACAATGAAATCAATTTTTTTTTAGTAATCATTGGTTTATGGCAGTTATATGTTTTTCTTACCTATCAGGTAAAGTTAGTATGGAAGATGAAAAACCAGTGAACGTACCTGATGATAATACTGGTAAATATTTAAAATTCAAACGTATTATAATTAATTTTTGTAAAAAGTGATTTTACAATTATGATATCAAATAAAGCCCCTTAACCCGTCATTGGTCGCGTGGTGAGAGAATGTCTCACCACGATAGTATTTGGTTAGGTAACTGCCTTTTATCTTAGTTTATTGCCTATTAGTTATGCTATACCTTATCAGACACATTTAATCTAAAAATAGATGGACATTAACCGACTTTGTAATTGTTTATCTATTGTCAGTATCCGTCTAACGCGGTTCGTATGCACACGGCAAGAGAAGTTCTCTATACGCGACCAAACAAGTTTATTTTTTCTATGCATTATTTTACTATGGATAATAACATTAATAACATATTTGCTTGGCTTGATGAAGCTAACGATATTATGTTAGATGATTTTTACCCCGATGGAGATGACAGTGGTGTAGAAATATCAGTTAATCCAGAAAGTAGTGATGAATCTGTTGAAAATGAAGGTAATACCGAAATGTGTTGTTTTGACGAAAATGATTTGTAATAACAATAATATTTTTCAAATTTTAATGTGTAATGTATATATTTATAAGTGATCATTTACATAATATATATTAGTAATAAATAAAGTAATAATAATAGTAATAAATAGTAGTTCAAAACATATTAAAGAAAATGAGAGAATCTCTCACCACACGACCAAAGAGTTATAAAAAAAATACGCGACCAACGACGGGTTAAAGACATGACACTGAATACGTACAAAAAACTCAAAATTATAGTATCTCTGTTTTACTTAAAATATTTATACATTGATTATTATGAGTACTTACTCAAAATTATAGGTCGTTATAAACTGCAGCCAATCAAATCTACAACTGCTAATCGTACCGAAGCTGATCCTAACGTCGAGGATCTTTGGTTATTTGATTTGGCATCAACTGTAAGGATCTTATTTTATAAATAATTTAGATCATTCAATATTTAAAAATAATATTTTTTAAAACTCGACATTAATTATTTGTGTTATTATTCAATTTGATATATACATATTTTTTTAGCAAAACTATGCAGATAAACAAGGAGTGGATTATGATACCGATGTTGCGGTTTTGAAGAAAAACAGAAATGTACTAGTTAAACGGTACAGTTATCTATTATAATCGTAATTTTATGTTATTAAAGATTACTTGTTTTTAGGCCTTGTATTTTGTTGTTTGATTCTTTATCTGGTGGTGTTGGTCGTGCTAGAATCACGGCCACATTACGCGAATGGTTACAACAAGAATATATTGCGAAATACAATGACCTAATAAAAGACTTTAGCCCTGAAACGATAAAAGGATCTTTGGTTAAAATGCCTCAACAAACTAATTATACCGATTGCGGCCTGTTTGCAATTCACTGTTTTAAAATGTTTTTTGATGTAAGTTTACTAATATTGTATTGAATGTATTGTGTAAATCTTACCATATTTTTAGAAGCCGATTGTAGACTACTCTTTACCAATTCGTCACTTAGAAAATTGGTTTTCTGCTGCTGAAGTGACTAAAAATTGCCAAAAACGGAGAGAACTACAAAGCATAATTCTGACTAGGATGAAAGAGCAAAAATCTGTTCTGCCGGAAGGTGTAGTATTGCCTATTTTGAATTTTGCAGACCCTTCTGTAACAATACAACAAAATTCTCATCGAAAGAATTATCCAGAAAACTACCAACAAGAATTAGTCGTAGAACCCTATGCAAATCTTCACTTCCAAAAAGGATATACTAAAATTACGAGAAGTGAGCAGCAAGAAAATGACATAGAAAGTCCAATGTGAGTTTAACAGATATTTGCCTAGTATACTCTATGTATCATATCACAAAATAACAATTTTCCATTTGAGTAATTGTTAATTGTCTAATTTTTTTTTTTAATAATTACAAAATAGTAAAATTGTTTAAAAAGTATAGTTTTATAACATGTTTAAACATCCATTGGTGTTTAAATTTTAATTTCAAATGCTTAAGAAAAATGTGTTTTGATTTTTATGGAAACTATCAATATTTTTTAAAAGAGATTGAGTATACTATAACTATTTAAAATCGACTTAAAAAAATAAAATAATAGTTCTGGATAATAAAATTGTTTTAATGAATATAATATATGGTTTTATAATTTTAATAATTTTAATTTAAATAATGGGTGATAAAGTCTTAACTACTTATGTAAGAAGGAGAAAAAACGAACTTTGCACTTAAAGATACCATACCTAAATGTGTTGTTATTTATCAACCTTTTATATTAAATTAAAGTATATAATTGTAACGCGTATTAACTTTGATAGTAGACAAATATATGTATAATAATTATTTAATATAACAGTTTAACAACAATATTTTTTAATTTTATTTTTAGACACAACTTTGACAATGGATCGTTTAATGCCTATCATCATGTACATTTTAATAATAGAAATGTAGAAATTGATGTTAATGATATTCATTCTGGATTAGGAAATCACAAAAATGTTATTAAAATTAAAAACATTTCTAACGAAAACTTCCACTCCTTTAAATAAAACAATCTTACAATAGTATACAATGAATATGACATTGAAGAAAATGATGATAATGACGGAGATGAAGAATTATAAGAAATAGAAGAGGAAGAAATAAAAAAGATAATGATTTAAATGAACTCCATTTAATAACAAATCGTAATAGACGTGATAATAATATTTTGTAAAAATCCATATGTATTAAAAGTTTAAAGTTTATATTTCATTATACTGTTATCATTGTTTTTATGTGTATTATACTTATAGTTCATAACAGTTTAATTAATTTTGATAATATATATTATACGTGTAAAAATTTTTTTTTTTAAATTATTTTATATTTTGAAAAGAATGAATAAGTTACTCATGTTTATTGGAAACCCTCATACAATTTAAAATATGTACACATGAAACATTGAAACTTAAACATTTCCATTTCATTACACAATTTCTAATTCTAAATATGAAAAACTATAAATTTCAAAATTTAATTTATGAGACCTATAGTTATAATACATTGGTGAGTAAGCACTTATACGCCTTGAATTTTTAGCTCAAATTTTTAAGCTCTTTTTTCACATGGAAAATGTTATGTGACACATAATTGACTCCAGATTCAGTAAGCCCACAAGTTTAGTTATTCTAGCACCAAATGGAAACACAATATAAAGAAGTTTTATAATGAAAAGGTTGTCATAAATTATTATTTTTTATTACCTACCTTTTAACATTTTGTTGTCAAAGTCATAACGGGTAACCCGTTAGTCAAATAAAAAGTATTTATAATTTACACAGATATTTCATAATTTATATAAACTTATAAATTTCAATGATTATAAACAATTAAAATGCCTAAGAACTGTAATACTATAATTTTTAGTGAGATACTATACAACTTTCTTTTTTTAAAATTATTTCAATAGAATATTTTTTTCTCTTGAGGTAATAAGTTATTGGAAACCAATATTATGAGTAAGCTTTTGCGTCCATTAATCATTTGTATCATTTAAAGTGAGTTGACTTTTTTTTTTGGTTAAATGTAATTCCAAAAAATAAATTAAGAAATATTCATTTATAATCTAATAAAATAAACATAAGTCAGTCAGCCGTTTAGTTTTAAATATGAACATTTTAAAACCAATTTATTAATTAATACAGAATATTTAATTAAATAATTTATATTTATCTAAGAAATTGTTTTAATGTCGTCAAGCTTGAATGGATGGTGGTTATGTGTGATTAAATGATCTTTCAACGTTAGCAAATGTGCATATTTAAAACGAAATTTTGCAATTATTTTTTACAGTACAAAAGTATAAATTGTTGAATATTCATCATATGTTAGAAAAATACGCTAAATATGCACAATAAAATAGAAAAACACATAAATATGCCAAATAGTAAAAAAAAACCCTCGAAATATGCACAACATTTATACAAAATAAAACTTTATATATTCGACCACGGTACCTTAAATGGATTTCTATGTTAACTAACATTAAATACGACTTAGCAAGGTTGATATGTAAATGTATGAACTCACGAGCCTTGGCTATTACTTTTCATTTCAACTTTTAAATGATTATTGGTAAGTTATCAAGCTTAAATTTTGTGTATAAATTTAAATATATACACCTTTTGATAAAAAATTTTGATTTTTATACCGAATAAAATGTTTAAAATATATATTATATTATATAACATAAAAAATAATTTATATTGCTCATAGTTTTATACACAATATTTTTTTCTTGTACTACACGTACAATAGTATAAAACAAAAAACAAAAAATCACCGTATTTTTACATCATTAAGTATACCCAAATGCTTTAAGAATACATTTTAAATTTAATTTAAATTAATTAATATTATATGCTATTCTGTATTATATGAGATCATCGTTGTCCTTATTAGGATTTTGGAAAAGGCCAGATATTAATGTTTAAAATTAATTGTAGATCACTTGCAGTGAATGAATTAAAATTTTTTAAGATATTTTGATTGATAGGATAGATAAAATATATTGCGTAAATACAACCACAACATGAGTAATTATTTTATTTATGGAAGTAAATTATTGAACTCATATTAATTGATTATTTTAATAAAATGCTTAATATATTTTGTAATTGATTATAATTTCTGGTTAGAAACTATAATGATTTATAATATATCCAATATCCATGTTAACGACTATAAATTAATAATTATACGTATTATAATTTATAGTTTGATATTTACTATTTAAATGTATTTCAAAATCAATTTACGACTTCTCTGATTATTTGTCTAACTTGTCTTTTTTCCAGTTGACAATTTTTGTTATTACATCTTTTTTATTAAATAGCACAAAATCAAATTACACTTATAATGTCAACGCGTAAAAATATTTTCAATTATCCAAACATATCAATTTTTCCCATTAAACCAACATTAAAACGACTTCAAATAAAAACTGCCAGCCAACCTCCTCCACAGAGTATGAGATTTTATTAATATTAATTATACCTTTAAAAAAATATTAACTTAAAATTGTCGAATGTTTTTTTAAATTTAGCTGTGCGAGTACCACCACCAATATCAATTGTTCCTGTGTCTTTTCAGCCAGACAAATTTGTGAGTTTTTTTTACTTTTACAAAATTGTAATTAGAACACAAAATCATTATTATTTTTTTAAAATAATTCACTAATTTATTCATCGGTTTTAATATATTTTAGGTTATTAATAGTAAAAAAATCCAAAACAGCACAAAAAGATCTGCTGAAAATCAACTTTCAAATCGGCAATTTTTAAAATAAAATTTCAATTGATGCATTTTGGTGATAAGTTATATTTATGTTCCTTTTTTTAGGACAATCAAAAAATGTAAACTTTCAGTGACTAAACCTAACAATGCTCAAAAATTTTGCAACCAGCTCTCACACCAGTAATTGTTTTAAATTTATACAGCTTTTAGTAAAATTTAAGAAATATATTTTTAACTTTCACTATTATGTGTACTGCTGGACTACATAAAAATATTGATTAATTTAATAGTTAACTAAAATTGAATGATGGAGGGGATTAATGGCCGCTTTACAATATTTAATGAACACTACAATTTATTAAATTCAAAATTTTATATTCAAAATAATATATTTTGCTCTATTATTTTTAATATAATACGTCTTGTTTAATTTGTCTAACTTGTCTTTATTTCAGTTGACAATTTTTGTTATTATAACTTTTTTATATCAAAACGACTTCAAATAAAAACTGCCAGCCAACCTCCACAGAGTATGAGATTTTATTAATATTATTTATAACTTTTAAAAAATATTAACTTGAAATTGTTGAATGTTTTTTTTTAAATTTAGCTGTGCGAGTACCACCACCAATATCAATTGTGCCCGTGTCTTTTAAACCAGATAAGTTTGTAAGTTTAAACGAGAATAGATTTTGCAAGAAGTTTTGCTATATCGAAAATCAGTCGAAAATATATCAAATCGGAAATAAAATTGATGACGCTATGAACTCGGACCGGTAATTTTTTTAAAATTTATATTGAATATAATACAATTTAAGAAATCTATTTTTAATTTATCTCAAAACCATATTATATGGTATTCCTAACCTAACCTATCAGCATGTAGCAGGGATAGTAATTTATTTGGAAAATGGATTACATAAACAATATAAGAGACGAATCTATTACTTTAATTCTTTTTCGGTGTTAAAAAGAGATACTTAAATTATAGATACTTAATATGGCCTTTTTTTTTTATCAATGCATTGAGACAGTCAAGTTTTGAATTGTATATTTATTATCATATTGATGGATATATTGTCAACAGCAGCTTAAATATTGTCTTTCAGTTTAGCCAAAATCCATGGTTTATTGTTATAAACTAGGAATTTTAGATAGTCCCGAAAAATAAAATCATACCAAGTTAAATTATATGAGGATATATTAAGTATATGTTTGTACGTCCTTTATCATTTTCCATAAATATATTGAAAGTGCATTCAAAACTCAAGTAGATATTGAATGTGTCTAATACTGTGAATATATTACAGTAAAATGTACGTTTCTAATTTAACTAATTTAATGTTATTACTTATTTTTAATTTGATTTTATAGGGAAGTAATTGAAATACGAACTAATGGAGAAATATTTGAGATTAGAAATTCTTCTATAATGAATGAATTCATTATTGCTATGTTTAAAGCCTTAAAAAAGGTTAGTATCATTTCATATGTACGACTGCAGTATATAACTTATTTATATATGCTATAAGGATTACTAATGGGTTACAAAATAAATTGTTAATTTTTAAATGTTATACATTCTTAGGTACTTTTTATTTTTTGAAAATACATTATTAATGTGTATTTATTATTGATATTTTTCTTTCAAGACAATAAAAATAGTAAAATAATAATTAGCATATAAATATGTAATGCCTTCATTTTTTTTTTTTTTTTTATTTTGATAATAAATTAAAATTCGTCTTATACTTAGATGTGTTGACACTCATTATTAGTTTAGTATATTTTAATTGGTGTAGCAAACAGGTCCATTGTAATTGAGTAATGTATTTTGTCAATCAGTGACTTATTGGTAATGGTGATATGAAATTATAAAAACATTTTTTTTTTTTTTTTTTATATGTATATACATACACACATATATATATATATATGTGTTATATATAGTGTATAAGTGGTACTATTTAGTATTTAAACTATGCCATATTATAGAACTCATAGGTTTTCCTACTGCGCAGTAGTTGACGATTAGTCATTATTGTTATTAATGTTATTATTATTATTTATTACATTTTTCATATTTCTATACGATACTTCTAAGATCAGGGAATAGAGATTAGAATATAATGTTGACGTTGAAGGGGACTAGAAAATTATAATTTATATTATTTTAATGTATATTAGTAAATAATACATTATTTTAAGTATTGTATATTACTCTATGGGCCAGGGGCGGACCCAGGGGGGGTTTGGGAGGTCAGCTGACCCACCGTTTTTTTTTCTCAGTAAAATGTGGCCTCTCAAAATGACAAACTACATAAATATGTACAATACTACGATAATCAAAAATAGAAATAATATAAACTAATAATATGGTGTTATAAGTAATTTATAAAATGTACACAGACTCAAGAACATTTCTATGAAAATATAATTGTAAATGTATAAATATAAATATAATATATTATGAATATTATGATATATGATGTATAGAAATTAGAAAGATATGAAAAACCCATTCAATTTGAATTAATTAATAATACCAAAGTTTATAAGTCAGTTTTAAATTGTATTAAAAAATTAGTTATGACTTATGCTTTATCTCTTTTAGTTATAGTATTTACTATATTAATATATGTAATATAAATAAGGTAATGTAATGTAATGTTATTAACTGTAATGTACAGTTGATTGAACCTTCTATACAGTGGCCTCTCATAAGTGAGGCAGACCCACAGTACTAAAATCCTGGGTTCGCCACTGCTATGGGCTCACGTAACCAGTTGCCCGTTTATTACATATTATAAACGTCATTTGTCATATTATATTGTATGTATGATATATTAACTGAGAACTAGAACTATAGAAAATAATCTTTTATTTTTTCCTGAAATAAAGATAGATACTAAGCATTTTATAATAACTAAACGTTTTCAATAGTTACCAAATGTGTCAAAACATTACAAGTGTCATTATTTTATCAATAGAATTTGCAGCAGAAAAAAGGAAAAAAATATAACTTGTGAAAATGAAATGTTAAAAACATAATATAATAATAATAATAATATCCAAAACCATAATCACTTTATTAAGTTGACCCCCAAAATTTGAGGATTCTTATGCGTTAAACATATTTTCTTCTATAAAAACATATTACATAATATGTTCTTTTAAACATTAAGTATTTTTTTAAATATTTAAAATTTTTATCAGGAAAAATTTTTACAGTCCTCCATCCAAATTAATTTTTGAATATCTTTGCAACTTAAAATGACACTAAAGGTGTTAATTTATTTTAGTTTTTACCATAACATATATTGGTTTAAACAGAATTTCAAATAGGAATACAATTAAATAAAAATTCATGTAAATAGAAATAAATGATTAATTCGGTTTATTTTTAAGTTGCTTATAAGCTTTTTTATAAAAGTTCCAGAACAAAATAATCATAAAAATATTCTGACAAATTGATAATATTATTATAAATTTGGGATAATTGCAGTCTGTTGCCAATAATGATAAACAACCATGAAGAATAGTGATAACGAATTGAATCTGTAAAAATAAATAGGTATTACATTACAATATGATTGAACATTAAATGACTAAAATCAGTTTAATATTTTATACATTATTATACTCTATTCAAGCTAAATAGACAACTTGGTGGATAACTTGTGCACAATGGTGTGGCTTGTTAACATGGAATACTTACAGATAGTTTGCTCGGTACGGAAGTCAAAGTGTATTACTTAACTATCACTGGATAGTGGATAAGTGGGTCGTTTTCAAATTATTTTTTTAATTCTCAAACTTGAATAAAGTAGGTAATAAGTATAGTTCATGGTAAAATTATGAATATTTTGGTGCTTATAAGTTATAACCATTAAAAACAATATTAATCATTCCACATTTTAACCCTTTCTCCAAAAAGTTATAATTTCAAAAATGTGCCATAAATCTTAAATTCTAATTATGGATATACGCAGTACAATAAATAGTGTATTTTGGTAAATAGTTAAGTCATTTAATAAAAAAATAAAACTATAAAATTCAGATATTAAAAAAACACAAACATGAAATAAAAAAATCGATAATTAACCATAATATTGATCAAAACAAGTTTAAAAAAAAATAATTTCTTTCAAAAAATATAATATCAGTTATATTATTTCATAATAATTTAAAAATATGAATTAGTTATTAAAATTTAAAAGTATTATTTTTATTTGTTGATATATATTATGTGTCTACCTTATATACATAAATACATGCATTTAAGTTATATTTTGCAACTTACAAGTTATGCAAAATTTACTTTTAATTCTCGTATATTGAAGTCAATTAACTTCTAAAAATTAACTTAGGTTTCAACTTGAGATAATATTTATAGACATTAAAATATTTTTAATTTTCACAAGAAACCTATATCTATGTTGAGTTTCTCAATTGAAAACATTACCAGTTGCAATTGTGTTAAGTATTTTTTCCACCATGCTTTTTTGTATTCTGGGTTAGAAATTGTCAACAAGTAGTAACTGTACATCACAACATGAACAAATGAGTTTAGGGTCCCAAATATGGTGACTTGTCCTCCTAAATTTACCAAATATTTATAAGTAAATTATTTATTTTTATTAACAATATTGATGTTATTAATTATAAATTGTTTTTACCTGGATAGAATTTTATTATAGACCAGCTAAATATTAAGATCGTTCCATGGTGGTATATGTGTAAAAACGTCAATTGACTTTGCTTTTTACGTAATACGAAGAATATCTAAAATGACGAATAATTTATTTTGTAAATTATGATAACTATAGATGGTGTAAAATTATATTATCTTAGGCTTATAATTATTACCGAGTCCAACAAATCTAAGACTTTAGAAAAGAAGTAAGCCCAAGTAGCACGTACTATCTAAAAATAACGAAAATGAAAAATTTTTATTTATTTTTTTTAATACTAACACTTTTATTACATTTATTTAATAAATACATAAATAATAATATATTATAATTGTGAGAGTTATTATTTATTAAAATGTGATATTAGAAATTGAAATATACGAATGTATATGGGATGACCTATTCAATGTAAGATACCAACATTTTATAAGTATCTCAATACCATTCCTTATCGTTCATCATAACTTTAAATACTTATAACTCATAACAAGTCATCAATATTCGACTTTTAAGTATCAAAGTATTTTAAAAATATTCTATTTTAGAAAAAAATTCAAAATGCATGCATGTTGTGAAAATATACATAATAGTGGTATAGATAAAAAAAGTAAAAAATATATTTATTTAGAAAAATATTTTTCTCAATTAAATGGAGTTAAAAAAAAAAAAAAAGTTTTTAAAAATAAACGTAAATAATTTTTGTATTTTTCGTAAGAAAAATAGACTACCTTTGTTACGTACAAATTCGAAAATTTTATATTTTTTTCGACGCGTAGTGTAATATTTATACCTATACATCGCCAAATGTACAATACGAGTATAATTGTAAAAATAGATCCAGATTACATTTTAATCATGTTCATAAAAATTTTTACAAACATTTTTTTTAAAAAGTACTTATAAATATATTATTTTATTATATTATTTAATTGCTACAAAATTAATACTGATTTAAATAAAATATAAATTCACTAAATTTTTCAATTATGTCAGCTAAAGATACATTGTATGTTATGAAATTAACAAAAATAAATGTGAATTTGTGAATTTAATCATATCATGGTATTTAAACAGCAGTAATTTTATTTTATGCGTACGCAAAGTTAGAAATTTAGATAAATGGTCTTAGTAATTTTTACCCAACGTCTTGTAAGACTAAATCAATCGATTGAATCGGTCTATTCTAATTGTGACCACATTAACTTCATAAAACGCAATAAGTTTCACAATTATATTTCTTTTAGAAAAAAAAGTTTTACGTATTATTAAATATATATATATTTAACACATAATATAATATACGTATGCGTATGAACTACATTTGTTTAAAAAACACCAAATTTAAATAAAATATACTGTAATATTATGTAATTGTAATGTAATATTATAATTCATGAGTAGGTAGTATTTAAGTAGTTTGTGAGTCGTTATACTTTTACGTTATCTACAAGCATGCAATTTAATATTTTTAACATCATTAGTGCTCAGTAGTCAATGCTATCGCAGGTTTATTTAAAATAAAAAAAAATAAAACGCAATAATAATTTACTTTAAACGTTTCAATTTTGACTTAATTTTCATTAACTGCTACGCACCAACTGAGGAAAAAGATGAAACGATGTTAAGGAAGGATTTAAAGCACGGACGACTATTATGAAAAATAGAAACGGCAATCTGGTTTCTGACCCCAAGATGATTGTAGAAAACTTCAAAGAGTACTTTGACAATCTACTTAATGACAGTGCAGAACATAATACCAGTTACAGTTCATATGAAAAATTAGTGTACCAAACGGCCGAACTAGAATTACCCGAACCTAGTATGAGCGAAATTGAACTAATAGTAAAATCCTTAAAAAATAATAAAGCGCCCGGGGAAAATAATATCAATTCGGAACTGCTCAAGATTGCAGGAAAAGACCTTCTAAAAACTCTTCATCATCTGATTTCAAACATATGGAATAGTGAAAAAATAGAAAATGACTCCATATTTAAGAAAGGTGACCCAACAAACATGGAGAACTATAGAGGGATAAGTTTGCTGGATACTACTTATAAGGTACTCACCTCTGCTATATTAAACAGGATCGAAAAGTATGCCTCAGAGATAATTGGTGAATACCAATGTAGCTTCCGAAAAAGAAAATTGACCAGTGATCATATATTTACTATACGACAAACCATGGAAAAATATTACGAATATGACAAGGATTTATATATGATTTTTATCGATTTTAAGCAGGCTTATGATAGTATTAACAGGAATCAACTATGGATAGCACTTGAAGATTTTGGCGTTCCAAGCAAACTTATAAGACTATTTAGAAATTGTAACTCGAACACTTTTTGTAGGGTACGTTACCTATAGGAGAAACGTCAACACAGTTTGAGGTTAGGAATGAACTAAGGCAAGGGGATGCGTTGTCTCCTACACTGTTCAACCTAGCTTTAGAAAGAGTAATTAGAGAAATGCAAAATAGTAGGGAAATGGAGATGCTTGGAGGGAATACTTTGTTAGCATACGCTGATGATATCGTTATCCTTGGAGAATCTAAAGAGGAGTTAACTACAAGTACTCTTAATTTGTTAAAAAATAGTGAAAAAATGGGACTCCGAGTTAATGAAAGTAAAACAAAATTTATGATTGTTATGAAAAAGCCGACAGTTGGACAATACTTATTTGAACAAGTTGAAGATTTTAAATATTTGGGGGCTAATATAAACCAAAGAAATGACATGCATAATGAAGTTAAGCTGAGACTTGTTTCGGCAAACAGAGGATATCACACAATGAGAAGCATGCTATCATCAAGGTTACTATCAAGAGAAACTAAAACGAAGCTGTATATAGCCTACCTACGCCCTATTGCGATGTACGCCTGTGAGACCTGGTCGACAACAAGAGGAGATGAACTAAAACTCCTAATTTTCGAGAGGAAAATATTAAGGAAGATATATGGTCCCATAATAAACCCGGAGTCAGGAAAGTATGAAAGAAGAAAAAATGAGGACATCAAAAGCATTTTCAATAAACCAAACATACAAGCATGTCTGAAAGCTAAAATACTAGAGAGGGCTGGCCATGTTTGGAGGGCAAAGAATAAGCTAATTCACAAAGTACTAATCAATAAACCCAATGGCAAGAGGCCAAGAGGAAGACCTCGTCTACGATGGTTCGATAGAGTAAACAAAGATCTGGAAAGCTTGGGAACGACAAAAATTGAGGATGCGGATGATCGGGAACGGTGGGGGAATGTGGTAAAAGCGGCAAAATGCATTCAAGGCTTGTAATTGCTAAGAAAAAAAAAAAAAAACGTTTCAAGTACTTGTGAATAAAAAACCATCAAAATAACTAAAATTGTTTATTGTTTATTACAATATCTAATTTCATCAAAATTTGTACTTGAAATGTTTTTGATAAAAATTGTGTTTATATATTAATTATTTAGATGTTTTAGTTACAATATGAAATATTGAACTTCTATATTAACTATTAAATTATGAATCCTTAGCCATGAATAAAGAACATTTCATACATTTTTAATTGCAAAATAATTTACAAATTTTTAAACTTCAAATATATACCTCTTTATCTACAATATTTTTAAATGGTTTCAATAAAAACTTTAAAAAAAATCATGGATTAAATTTTCAAGCTTTTTTGACCATATCGACAATTTTTCATCGATATTTTTAGAAAACAAATTGAAAATATCAAATGTTCATAACTAACTAAAAAACATTCAAAATATATTAGAAAATAAATTATACTATGCATAAAAAATTCTAATATAAATATTTTGTAAAGATTTCAAGTAACTAAAGTTATTTGTTATTTAGTTACACCTAAAACAAAATCGATTTTTTTGTAGATAATTTTTATGTAGAAATTCTAATTATTAATTAGTTTGTTTTAAACGATACTGAAAATGTTTACTATTGACCCCTTGTATAATTTTTTTAGCAGAAATTATCCCCAAATTTGGAAATTTAATCATTTTTTTCTAGTGTACACTGATACAAAAAAAAAAAAAAATCACACACATCGACATTATTATAAGATCAATACATTTATCACTTCACTCAGAATCTACAATATTTTATGTAACTCTCGCTAATATAACCATTATAATTAAACAAAATTGTATAAATATTATTTTAGGTAAAATATTAATCATAATAGTAAATAAAATGATTAAGAACTCGACAAAATATTTGTTGTTTAATAAGAAAATGTTAATATATAAGTACTTTTTTAAAAATTGTTGCTATTATTTTTACAAACGTAGGTAGTTAAAACTTGTTTTTTTTTCAATATATTTGTACATTTCACGATGTTTAGTAGGTACACATCGTGTATTTGTGACTATTTAGTGACAACGCGTATTATTGTACAATGTATTAACTATGTACTGAAACATTGCACATAATATATTATATTATATAGATCAGGGGCGGCCAAACAGTCGATCGCAAAAGATTTTAAAGTCGATCGTGCTAGAATTTATTTTTAGGCTACGCACACGAAAATTAATTATGGTGGTATAGTAACTTAATAATAATAAAAACTTTTTTATCGAAGTCAATCATCAAAGGTAAAGTATATTTTTAGTAGATCGCGGCCGAAAAAAGTTTGACCGTCCCTGATATAGATAGTTATGTAAATAAAATTACGTTTCTAGCTAAATCTGTATCGCTATAATCAATTTCAATGCAGATTATTTTGTTGACACCTCGTTGCCAAAATAACCGAATTGCCTGTAAATAAAAAAATAAAAATGTGTTTTAGAGTTACGACTAAATATTGGAGTTTATATAAAATATAGTTAATACGTCTTTTAATAATATTCAAAGTAATTTTACCTAATATTACAAATGTATTATAATAATATACTCAATAATTTATTATGTTTACAGATAGGAATAATCTGCATTACAACTATCCGAGTAATATTAACTATGAAATCTTATATAAAAATGATAATTTACTGTATAGAATATAGATTTAGTAAAAAAATTGTTTATCTATAATATGGTCTAATATACCTAAGACCATGTCTATTGATTTATTATCTAGGTAAAGTTATGGTGTTTGTGTAAAACAGCGTTTCTCAAACTGTGGGTCACGAGTCAATTTTTAGGGGGTCGCGAGAAGTTTTTTTAATTATACAGATTGTAAGAAATTATTATAAAGTAGGTAGTAGATAAGTAATAAAAAAATTTGTTTTTTGAAATTACTTTTTTGATTCTGTAAATGTAAAACAACTATGGGGATCGCGATAAAATTTTGGAAGAAAATTTGGGTCGCGGTCCTAAAAAGATTGAGAACCACTGGTGTAAAATATACAAATAAAACAAGTAAAAGAGTTTTGATCATTATGTACTTACTTATTTAAAATATATTTTTCATTTAAGTGGTAAATTAAAAGAAAATAAATAAAAACTAAGTGATTTGATCTTAAGATATAGCATTTTTAATATCTGAATGAAATATTAACAATATTGTTACAAATTTAATAAATTACAAATCGAATAGTATACATTTTCTAACAAATTTATAACAAATATTGTAAAGCTGAAAACTTTGTATATTAAATTAATTCCAGAAACTATTGAATCGATTTAAATAAAATTTATATCAGATTCCTTGAAACTATAGGATAGTGTTTAAACTTATTATTTCAATCTATATTATTTGGTATAAGATGGCTTCCCCATGAATTTTGTTATGGATCAAAATAATCGTAAATTTATTTTGTTTGTGTATTATAAAGTTGTCATTGGTTACGAAAAAAAATAAAAACAAAAACAAATTGTATTAACCAGCAAATCCACCCTACGTTTTTTAAATTAAAGAATATAATATTTGATTTATTGTTTGTTATACTTAAATGTGTACCCGTACCTAATCTCCTTAAGTTCGTAGTTTATATGAGATTATTTCAAAAACTACTCAATTGGTTTCAATGAAAGTTACAAAGAATTTTTTTAGCTATATTAGAAAAAAAGAAAGTAATTTGAATCATATTAAAAAAATATACTAAGTGCTATTTATAATTCTAACAGGTAGATCACCCACATCCATCTAATTAGTCAATAATGCGAGATACAACGATGACGATTTGCAAGTGAACTCAGGTACAATGTATCTCGAATACATCCACCGATATAGCACCAAATTTTATGTTTGTTCATTTTTTTCCGAGAAAGTTGGGGATATGCAGCTGTGATTATTATAAAAATGTTAACAGTGTAATAAAATAAATTCTTATGTTTACTTTTGTTATACTTAGTAATCTAGTATAAAATGTATATTAACGCTTGAGTATAGATAATACATGTTTTATAAAATATTATATTACCTCTATTACTAGATAGGATGAATATAAAACTTGGACAACATTATACACCATCACAATACGGTCAATTTTCAATGGGTTACGATATTTCATAAAGTTTGGTCCAGCTTTTAGAACAAAGTATAGATAAGCGGCAAGAATAATCAAAACTGGCCACGGAGAATCCATTAAAAACATATCTTTAATTCTTGAATCTAAATTAATAATATAATAAGAGTTATAAATAAACAGAGTAATTCACAAAACATGTTTGTGCCCAATTTTTTTTAAATTTAATTATGAATATCTAATATATTCAAATTATTCTGATTTTTGGAAATTTTAAATATATTTATATCTTTAAGAATATTTTAAAGTTCTTGAGATGTTTTTATACTACTTAAGGAGATCTTTTAGTTATAATTATAAATTTCTATTTTTCAAACGAAAATCTTCCCTTGTTCACTGTAAATTATTTAGTGAATAATTTTTTTTTTAGCATTTTGATACCAAATTCAAAATTAAAACGATTATTATTTTTTTATTTGTATAATATGTTCATACTAAGAATTAAAGTTCTTAAGAATGGTTTTAATAAAATATAAAATAAATATAGCATTTCATCTAGTGTTTTTTATACATAGACCATTTTCACTAAATATTATAAATTTTGATAGATTAATTGCTAAAAATTTTTAATCACCATAGTGGCATAAATTTCATATTTTCCAAATTTATTATCTTGGATCTATTATTCTTAGAACATAAAATAACATAGCTCAAAAACTACTCACTCAAATTTTGATTTTTATACGTCAAAACATTTAGAAAAATTTACCAATTAATAAATACAATAGATGATCTTATTTGAAAAACAGAAATTGGTACTCCATAGTGCACTCATTAAATAGTACAAAGAATCTCAAAAAAAAAAAAAAAAAAATACACAAATTATGATCTTCGTAAGTATATTTAAAAATTCCAAAAACAAATTTTGAATAAATTCATTGTTAAATGAAAAATAGTATTGCATGTGCTTAGTGAATCACTTAGCACAAAAAATTTTAAGATGGAAAAAAAAATTGGTTCCATCCTATAGGTAATAATATCAATGGTATTTATACAAAAAATATTTCAATAATAAATTCCGTCACTTTATTAAATGTGATTAAATATATGAATATATTTTATACTTTGATATATAATATTCACATATTCTAAAATATAATAAACTTACCTCCATTTTTATCTATCCATTCTAATAGATCGGAAACTTTGTGATAGAGAATTGACATCTGAAAATATAGACGAATAAAGTAATTAAGATGTTAGTAAAATCGTATTTTCAATAATATAATTTTCTTGAAAACAGAAACATTATTCACTTCATTTTATGTTTTTCCAATTTTATTTTTGTAGAACCAGAGATACAGGAACAACATTCCATAGCTCATTTTTAGATGAGCTACTACACTAACTTCCAAGGCCGAAAACTTAAGGTTGAAACTAAGTCTTTGCATATGGTTTTAAATTGATTATTACAAAATAAATAGGTATTTATTGCTATAATGTTTTAAGAAGTAAAAGGACATTGTATCATAACGTATAATCATAATAATCCATTTTACTTTTTGTTTTTAATATAATAACGATATTTGGTAATATTACCAAATTTAAAACTACATCTTAAAATTTGAAATTTACAACAAATACACAATTTTTAAGTCATATTACTTGTTATAAAATTATAGTATCCATAACATTTTTTGTGATAAATAATATTACTTTTAAATATCCATTTTGTCCTCTTACCTTCCATTTAAATACTACTGATAATTTAGTAGGTTGGTATCTAGTATCTTCTTCTACGATGTCAAATGTGTATATTGTTAAATAAATACACGTGTTATTTTTTGCATACATAAATAAATATACGTATTCATAAATTATGTCCCAAAAATCAAAAATGCTAATCGAGTATTTTAATCAGGAGTTCTAGTTATCAAATAAATAATAAAATTATTTATTAATTAATAATTGTTTGTTGAATGTATACTTTTAACACTGTACCTAATCAAGTATTTTATATGAGCTTGGTAAATCTAGAATGTAATTTATATTACATTATATTTATTAATGTAATTAATATTTACTAATTAGTAAATATTAAATATAATATAATATATGCCATGCAAACTTCAACCATAATAATATAGTATAGAACCTGAGCTTTTATTGATCGTGATAATGATAAGCAACAGTTTGCTCTAATTGTTATTTATCAACCAGGAATCGAAAAAAATCAATTCATTGTAAGACCATGTAATATATTACATCGAAAAATAAAATCATAATACCCAGGACTCTTTATAAATATACCATAGAGAATCCTTGAAAACAATGAATAAAATACACCAATAAAGTAGTGGGACGTAATAATTCATTTATATCATTTACAAAAAGTAACTAAAGTGCCTAGGTTTTAACTTTAATTTACGCGTGCCAATATGAGTGCATTTCATTTCAAAATTACAAGACAAAGTCTAATAGATTACAAGAGTTATGTCATACACTTTTAATTTTCACATGATATAAATTCTGACATGCTCCAGGAATTGCCGTGTCGCCTCTTAGATCAAATTACATGTTTAAAATATGATGATAATTGATAAGTAATATATTCTATCAATAACAAAAGAGTAAGAAATTAATTTTATTACAACGATTCAGTCAATTTCAAACAATCGTCAGTTTAATGATAATATAATGATTTTGTTGTTTTATTAACAACGGTATTTGAACGAAATATGTATAAATATTATTCAAGCATGAATGCATAATAATATTTACGAGTAATATATATATATATATATATGTTACAGTAAAGGATGTTAAATTTATATTAACGTTATTAACTAGCAATTAATGTTATTAGATATTATTAAATATTTTACAAGGTTTATAACGTTAATTTCTAAGGATTTACGTTAATTTCAAACAATATTAGTGAATCGTGTTATTTGTATTTAAACTGTTACATTATTATTATTTATTTTCACATGATAATGAACTATGACATTTAGAATTACATAATTTCCCAACCACTCGACAGGTGCATTTATTAGTTTTGCACTTCATTTTACAGTGACATCTTTGATAGCCTTGTGTGCCCATAAGACTACTACATCCTGCTGCTTCTCGAAGTATTATCTCTTTATTTTTAGATGATTCAAGCGAATATTGTAGGTACTCATCAATGGTTAGAAAGGAGTTATTATCACTACATTTTTTTTAATTATATCAGATATAATGTTGTTAAATTTGTTTTTCATTTCAAGTTCATCCATAATAAATTTTATTAATAAAGAAAATTAACACAATGTTTTACGAAATTTTTAACATACAAAAATAATATGACGATATAATAGCAATTTCTATCCGATGCGTACCGTGAAAAACTGACAAAAATATAATCTATAATAGTTATTATATTTACAATTAAGTCTTACATTAGTAAGCCCCACTAAGCTTATTTATGCTTTATTTATATATTACAGAATATCTTAGTCCGAATTCCTATCTACTGCGGCTGTAATATTATCTAGTAGGTATCTAATACTATTAAGATAACATTATATAACAACATTTTCCATCGTATGTAGAAATTATTGATAATAAAACCTAAAAAATAATAAACCACGATAATCACTAGTTTATAAGGTAATTATTGTTATTTACTAGAAAATAACGTTATTTTAATGTTTAACATAATTTACTGTAACATATATATATATAATATGATTTATTTATTATAATTTAATATAATATAATGTTAAATCAAGATTAATATCTATTGATAATAACAGTATTTTTCTAGCAATTAATAAAATTACTATATTCTGAAAACCTTACATAATAATATCGTGCTATACATTCTAAGTGCTTAAATAACATGCATTTTTGAATATCATCACCCTCTGATTTAATTAGAATACTTAGGTTAAATGAATAATAAATTTTAATTAGGTACTATAAATTGAAAAAACAATTATTATGAACTATAGTACTTAATTATACTATTTTTAAATTAATTTTATAAATTAAGCTATTAATTATTTTCATTCCTATATAAATCATATAAAATTTAATTTAAAATTTTGATATTGAAATATTAATAATTATAAATGGTACTTACCTTGATGTACTTTTGTGTACTTGTATCATGAAGTGCAGGAATATTCAAATACAATAGATATGCTTATAAATAGGTTATTCGTAATATAATAGATATATTATAAAACTTTTCACCCAATCTATAACCTAACCACCATACTACAAGGATTTGAAAAAATCAAGTTAGTTAACAAACATATGTTTCTTGAGACGAAATGAAGACTATGTAATTACAAACATTTCATAGGCTATAATTTTCGTTTAATTTGAATATATAACAGAGGTCACGCAGGAAGTAATGACATTAAAAATATTGTCAAACGAGAGACGAATTATAAGTTACCTTTAGACTTTTAAAGTTTGGTGTCAACGAACTACATTTAAAATTAACTAGAAAAAAAAAACTTATAACTGAATTTAAATTAAACAATGTTTGAAATTGTGTAAGTACGTATATTTAAACTCAGATGTGTTAAAATGAATAACAAGTTATCCATTCAAACTATTTATGCAGAATGGTGATAATTATTAGTTTTTAATGCGATTTTAAGTGTTTGATAATTCATAGTGTACAACTTATGAGTTCTAGGTATTATATGTTTAAAAAAAAATCTTCTTGGTTTCCTATTTTAAATAATCATATAGTGGAGAATGAGATGGTCATAAAAATATGAAAACTATAGAATATATAGGTATAAAATACTAGGAAAAACCATTATTTAATAGTTTTATAGACTGAATAAATTGTATTTGTTCTAATTTATTAGGTATATATAGGTAACACGAATGATGAATAGATTATCTTTAAAATATTTATTTTTAACAATCTGTATTTATAATATATGCTTCAGAAATCATGAAATTAAAAGTAAAAATATCATAAGATAACAATGAATACTCGAATTATGAATGTTTAAAAATTTTGTCTGTTAAAATAGAATTTGTTTTTAAATTTATTATCTATGAATGTAACAATTAACAAAAAGGCTTAATTTATGTATTTTGTGATGTGAATAATATGTTTATTATAATATTTTTTTGGCTTATTGATTGCCGTGATGTAATTAAAGAATCATATAGAAAGTCTAAAATGTTTAAGTATTATTATACATATATAAATAATGTCATAAAATATTTATAGTCACTATTAATATGTACTATCAGCTAAACTAATTTAGATTCGTGTTAGTGCTTATAATTATCTTTATATGATAAGCATTACAACTTTTAAACAGTTTAAATTATACATTATGTATAAAATTTATTTAATTTTCAATTCACCCTTTGTATTAACACAATATATACTCTTAACAACATAAATTAACCACGATAAACTAATCGTATATGCAATTTTCTGCAGCTATTGTGACTGCTTGTTATTTACAATAACTTACAAATCGTCGGTAGTCACTAATTATTTTCATAAACTGTATTATCTTTTTTAGCTACCTTCCAATATTTAATTAACGTAGGAGTAAACAAACAATTTAAAAATCATTAAAGACAATTTAAAAATAAAGTAATAATTTGTGACTTGCATGTATTATTGTCACATACAAAATATCCTTTTTAATTTTTAAAGTAAAATTTACATTATTTTCACTGAAACCAAAGTAAATATAAATTTAAATTCACTATTTTTTTTTTGTATTTTATCAATTGTTTCAATTTAATAGTTAAATAAAATAACAATTAGTTTTTCATATTTCAACTTAAGTATGTAAGTATATAATTAGATAAATTAAATGATATCAAAGTTTTATCATAAAATTTACTATTTGTCAAAACTTAAGATGTAAGATGATACTATTAAATTGATCGTTCTAATGGTTAATACAGTAATGTACCTTGTATTTTAATTAAATATATTATTATTCATCGCTTAAAAACATATTTAACTTAGTATATCTAATGTTAAATACTACTATTCTCTACAAATGTTTATTAGGTAAAAATTAGGACATATATAGTAGATATCTAGAGTGGTGTGCCAGCGTATTTTTTTTCTTTTTTTTTTAATAAAACACAAATTATTTCTTGCAAATTTATATAAAGATAAGAGACATTTGTATTTAATGTATTATGATTTATGTGTTTTTCATATTATTTATTAAAAATATTTCTATTCTATCATATTATAAGTAAGTACCTAATATATTTAACTAAATACCTACTTAATGAAAAATAAAATCCAGTATTTTATAAGCCTTTCCGTTACATATGAGAATGAATATAAGTAATACAAAATTGATACGGAATAAATAAAAATATTTTTATTCAATAATATTTAAATTCGTTATTGTTTAATCTTCTTTGGTTTAATGTATGCTTTTTTATAAAAGTCCCAGAATAAAATGAACATAAATATATCTTGTGGAATTGCGAATAGCATTATCAATCTAGGGAAATCGCAATCAGGCTCAAATAGCGTTATTATTCCATGTAGTCCAGTAATCACAAATTGCACCTAAAAAATAATAAATATATCTTATTTTAAGACTAAAATAATATTAATAAATAATTTTAATTAACTTTATGCATATAAATAAATATTATACTATATATAAATGTCAAAAATTGACGAAATTATGATATACTCTATTTTTCGTGTGACACATAACACAAAACTACCCATTTAATATAAATACAGATGATGGATAAATATGAATGATACATAAGATAAACTATTCTGCGATGACGCTACTGAGTGACTTTCTTACTCACGTCTGATGGTTTCTTATCGCCATAACATTTGCTTATTTTACTCATTATTTATTGTACAGATTGTACATTATCATATTTTAAATAAATAAATAAATAAATAGAATTTTTTCTTTTGCATAGAAGAAATAATGAAACAATGTATTTATTATTAAATTTAATTGATAACACTATTAAGTGGAAACTTTCATAGGTACTTTAATAAATTCATAAGACAATGAAGGAGGGCTAAAATGCATAATACATTGAATCTATAACTATACATTAAATTATTTAATTGTTTATAAAATAAGAAAATAAAAAAATATATTATACTTATGAAGATAATTTAATAATCCCATAATAATCGCATACTTAAAATCTTTAAGTTCTTAGACATTGATACACAACATTGCATTACCTACTTAAGTCTGTAATAATGATAACAATTAATGATTATACCTATAATAATACGTGTAATAAAAAATTGCGATACTACACTAGCAACGTGTCTTAAATTTACATTAATTTTAAAACAATATACTTTTGATTCAACATTGTATTAATAACCTTATCGATATATTAAACCATTATATATATAATATTTATTATTATTTGAAATATTTTATTTGCAAACATAACACTATTTATATAGCACGTATATTACTATAATAGATGGTATATGTTATATTATAAAGCCATACTTAAATAAAGCCAAGAAAAAACTAAGTACTTATAAATTATAATATATTATTCATTTTATATTTATGCTGTATATCTTATTGCCTAATGCCTAAGTATCAAAATATTATATAAATATACTAGATCATTTAAAATAAAAGTAACTATTTATTCTTGTCTCGTAAAATAAATTTCAAATCAATAAATATACATTACCAATTGTATAATGGTCAAATATTTTTTCCACCATGCTTTTTTGTATTCTGGATTTATTATAGTCAAAAAGTAATAGCTATACATTATAATATGCACACATGCGTTAATGGTACCAAATAATGCGGTTTGCGCTCCTGAAATCAATTAAACATTATGCATTCAAATTTTTTGACAAATAAATTATTTTATAATTATTACGATTATGTTCATATAGTTATACCTGAATAAAAATTGGTTATGTGCCAGGCCAAGATTATAACCAACGTATGATGATAAACATGTAAAAATGTTATTTGATTCTGTTTTTTTCTTAGTACAAAAAAAATCTAAAATTGTTTTTAATGCAAAGTGTTTAATATATCATATTAGTTGCAAATAAAAAAAAAGTGTATTTTATTAAATTAAAATGTAATTACTGTGTCTAGCAGGTCAAGAAGTTTACTCATGAGAAACATATAAACAGTAAATACTTGCTACAAAATAAACAATATTATTTTATTAACAATCTTATTTATTTTTACAAAGAATAAAATGAGAATTTAAGAAATTCAAAATTACTTGTTTTGCTAGTTCTGGGTCATCTTTACTTTTTTCGATGCAATAGAATCGATAATCGTCTCGTAACCACACCATTCTAAATGCCTATCAACATGAATAACATATTTATTATGTACATTACATTATACGAATACCTACATATTATATTATAACATTAATTATTGATATCTTGTAAATTATATTATACAATTTCGATTTTTATTTAAATATTTAATAAATACCTACAACATTTTACAATTTTAGGAATTACAGCAAATGTAATACTGAATTAATTTAAAATCGTATCATTATTGAATTTTTATAAACATTTTAAAATATCTACACTCTGTTAGTCGCTTTATCTATATATAAATATGGATATCAATAATGAGTTTTTCAAAACCTTAAGTAGGCATTGTTTTTGAAAGATCATAGAAAAAATATATCAAAATTGAATATTTTAATCAATACTTTATAATATGCTTTATTAATGTTTATAGTTGTATAGTTATTTAGTATAATCTAATTTAAATATCTGCGTAGTTTCTGCTAAATACAATAAAGCCCTATTAATACTGTAAAACCGTACAATGCATAAATTTTAGAATATAAAACAACTAATGACACAGTTAAATTAGTATACTAAACGCATTCTCTCTCTTACTAAAAATAAAATTTAAAAGTTCCACGTCAAAGTTGAATTTTCTTCGTTAGGATACAATAAAATTATTATTTGAATATATTTATAATATATTCTAAATAAATAAATACTTATTCTGTTTATATTTTAACTGGTGTATCTTACCTCTTTTACCAAGTAAAAAGAATATAGAACTTGTACTGCATCATAAATCATAACAATGCGGTCAATATTGTAAGGGTTACGATACTTCATGAATTCCGGGCCAAATTTAAGAACAAAGTACAAATACAGAATCACTACAATTGTAATTGGCCATATTGATCCCATAAACCAGAGATCTTTAACATCAGGGTCTAAAACAGAATAAAAAAGTCATTTGAGATGGTAATAAAAAACAAATATATTTCATAGTACACGATATATAGTCTTATGCATGTATATAGTATATCTTGTTTTATTTTTTTTGTTTGAGTTAATTAATTTCACACCAAAATGTTATAATATAATTGGATGTCATCATAAAAATACTAAGTTATTTTAATGTAAAATAAAGAACTTAGTTCGTTTTAATAATGTAGCAAGTCATATTTTAGATTCTCGATCAAGGCTATGAATGTATTAGTTTAATGTTAAGGTTTTTATTTGATTTTATAGTTTTTGTACTTGTTGTTATAATTTGAAACGGTAAAAGAGTCATACAATATCTAACCACGAAATTTTGATCTAGTTAGTACCTACTTGAAATTAATGATAATAAAGTATTCCTAGTGCTTTTTAAAATTATCAGGAAAAACTAATGAAAAAAAATTAATATTTACACAACAATAGTTTTTGAAATATTCGGTTTGGTTTTTTAGTTGTAATTAAAAATTGAAAACCATTAATACTTGAAATTTTCATAAAATATTTATGTTACCAAATATTTCCTACACATATAATTTTCTAAATATTTTGGCACTTTTAAAGTTATTAAATGATATATTTTGATATTATCAATTTTGTTAGTTTTTTTTTTTTTGATCAACGTACCTATCTTAATCAAATTTTTTTTCTAAGTCAAAATCTTTAAAATACGGATAACGGATATGTACCTCATAATTTGGTGATAGAAATTTAAAATATCGGAAATCAATTAAATATTTAAATAAAAAATAAAGGTTTTAGCTATTTTTTTGGAGTTCAAAATATATCAATCAAAGGACTTGAAAATGTTCACTATTATAATATATTTATACACAAAGAGGTTTTTAAAATTAATTCAAAGCTATTTATACCCGTTATATACCTATTTTTAACCTATATTTAACCGTTTTAAGGTATTTGCGTCGGTATTGCCTTTTACATTTACAAGTTAATACTTAATAGTGATATAAGATTTAATTTTACAACAATAATCAAAATTGGCGATTTTATTTTTGTCAATAATTAGTTCAATATACCGGATTAATGTTTAATAATAGAAAAAAAATTTTTAATAATGATTCTATAAATAAATTATAACTATTTATGCTCAGAAATAGTCAGAATTGCTTTTCATATTCAATGATTTATCATGAAATTAAAATTAACACATATATTACAGTCTATATTATAATATTGAGTATAATGATGAGTATTGATGCCGTATACTCGAAACCATAGTAGGTTGCAACTTTAAGGCGGGTTCCCCGCTTTTATTTATTTTGTTAAGTACTCACTGATACAAAATTTTTATATAATATTATAATATAGGTATATCATAATGTATTATAACATAACTTAGCTATTTATTAAATTAAATGATTCAAATAGTTGAGTGAGCATTTTTAAATATAATTTGCTAGATGTGATACGCGTACCCATAACACTATTACTATTGAAACGTACACTGCCGTAAATAGAGAGAAAATTCAAAATTTGCTATATTGCCATCTAATGTAACTAATAAACATTCGTTTTTAAATAATAAAAATTATCTTTTATGTATCTAAACTGAGCCTGTATTTTTTTAAATAATAGGTATATTCTATAACCGTGTACATGTAAAAATTGGATCCAAATTGTTTTTATTTTTAATGATCAATCAACATTATCCTGATGATTTCGTGATGACGGGATTGACTCATTCACATTTTCTTCTCAACATGTTTAATTAACGTAAAATCTCAATTTTATAACATATTTATGGTAATTCTTGATGACCCCTATGTACTAATATTAGTACTAAGTACTGATTAAGGATTTTCTGATTTTCAAACGAAAATTAATTATTACATTATCTGAAGCAGAATATTTTTATATAAATATAAAAATATTAAATATTTAATATTGAATAAAAATTATTTTTTATTACCGAGTACTTAATGTTTTTTTTAAAAAAAAAGGAGAGAAGTGAAAAGAATTGCCTCCTAAAATTTGTGCTATACCACTTCATGCATAAAAATTTTAAATGTTTATTATTTATAATCATTATTTTTAAAACGTCGACTGTTCGTTGCTAAAATAATCTGATGTACTTTTGATGAATTTGTTGGTATACAATTATTTTAACTAGATATTTACCAGTATTTTGTTCTACCCATTCCGTAACTTTCTGAATACCACTGAATAACACAGACATCTATAATAAATAAATAGTGATTAAACGTCATGTAGTATTTTATTATCAATATACATCCGCATTATGTATATTTCGTATTCACATTATTTTTAGTACTATTTAAACAAAAATATATAACATACTGTATAATAAACGTATTAATTTCATCCAAAAAACATATAACTTGGCTATAACCTAAAAGGTAATAAATATGCTAAGTTAAAAAACTATAAAACAAAAACTAAAAATATATATATAATAAATATTATATTATAAATTATTTATTAAATAAAATCGATTTATTAGATGATTTAGATTTAATCTAAGTTATTATCTTATTATAATGCATAAAGTTATAACTTTAAACGAAATCCTTATTTTTATAAAAAATTATACAATATTATTGACAGCTTACTTTTTGGATTATTGCAATTATTTAACATTAAATGACAAAACACACTGAAAAATTATTAAATTACTAATCACAAAAATATCACTGATATTTATAACTATATGCAGTGCCGGATCTAACATTTTTTAATCCTAAGCAAAATATGAAATATTGGTGTCCTTTTATATCAATACTCCATTTTTTCTTATTTTTTTCTTACTATAATTAGAAATGTTCGCCCCTTGGCCCTTTATGACTAACACCCGAGGCTTGTGCCCGGATTGTCCTTCCCTAGATCCGGTGCTAATTATGAGTCTCACATGCGAGTTTATTGTTTTATAAATTAACGTAGGTAAACTAGAATATATGTTTAGAATTTGATTTAAATTATTTTAAAATTAATTTTCTTTTTGTGAAAACTATAGTTATATACTTAAATAGTTAAAGGCTTAAAATGTTTGAAGTAATGTAATTCTATAATTTCCTATTTTTTTATTAGTTTCAAGTTAACTAACTTTTTTAACTCGTTAAGATAAGTTAAAATTTAAAAAATGTTAAGCTAAAAATTAAAAGTTACTTATTTCTTAGTTGAAAAAGTAAAATTCATGCTAAAATATTAAAAGTAAATACTAAAAGTGTATAGATATGTACACAAACACAAAAATAATATGTATAAGTGATAATTAGTGCGCGAGATTTTTTAGAAGTTTGTATGTTTTTAAATAATTATTAAAAACATAACTAAGTAATGTAGAAATTTGTTTCATAGAAATATGAGTTTATATTTAAAATTTATAGTTATATATTTTGAATACTTGACCATTTTTTATTTATAAGTGCATATTTGACTAATTTTTCATTTTTAAGTGCATACTTGATAATTATATTTTACATGAATGAGCAAGTTTTTGATTTTATAAAAAAAAAAACAACTTAATTTTAAATAGATTAAGTTTAATTAGTTTAATTTAAACTAAAACTCGATGTAAGATGAAAACAAATCTGAAAAAAAAATAATTATCTTAGAAAATTAATCAAATTAATCTATCTAACCAAATGTATCTATTTGTGTATCATATCTACAAATATTATTATTTATTATAAATATATTTATTTTTTAAATGCATATTTTAATAGCATATTTAGTGATTCTTTAAGGCATAAACGCATGCATATTTTAAGGTTTTTTAGAGCATAAAATTCCTAGCCCTAATGATAATACATGTTATTAAATATAATATAATATAATATAATATTAATAGAACAAATATTAGAAGGGAAGATCATTCAATAACGGATCATATTAATAGCAGTTATTAATTATTTAGATTAATTTTTTAAGGACACCAACATTTTTTTTAAATCGTCAAATCTGGTAATAGGACATAGTGTTATTATTGAGAGATATTTTTAAACTAATATTTTTAGGCAAGCTTGAAATTATCTATGAAAATTAATAAAAAAAAATTGCATTTAAGTCGTTTTGTTCCTTATTAAAATCTATAAATGCATAATAATGTTATTAATAATAAGATTTATTAGTTACTAGTGTTATTAAATAGGTACATTAACAATTCTATCTATTATCTAAAATAAATTAAATACTTAAATGTACCCATATAGTTACTAACAAGTAATAACCAGTAGATAATTACCAACAATACTATCAGTATAATATATTAATGATTATTTACAATTTACAAAATATAGTTGGTACTTTTCAGTTATTGTAAATACTCTGGAGGTTATTTGGCTGACAGAAAAAATTTGGATTCGATTTTTATACGTATTAAGAACAATATTTAGTATTAAGTTAAAGTTTAAATATTTTATTACTTCTTTATGATACACACAATGGATTTATATACCTACTAACTTATTAACTATAATTTATAATAAGTAAATACTAAATTACTATTTTTTTAAAACAAATGAAAGAAAGTTAGATGTAGGTGGTAGACATTTATTAATGAAAAATAAATTAATTTAATAATTTTATTTTTTATTTTATTAAACACATAGGACTACTCTTTTTTTTTTTTGACGACACAAAAATTTATCTATGTAAGAGTCAACATAGATCGACAAGTTCCTAAATGTTCTTATTATGCTTTATAGCCGATCGACACAAACATTATTTTGAACGTGTGTTCCACTAATCAGATCTATTATCTATAAAATTATATTTGTGGATTTGTGATTGACCTCCTTATTTTGTAAAAATGAGTAGGTACCTAATAAACATATGAAAATACTTTAAATACCTATGAATTATGGTAATGAATTCTAGATTTTCGTGGCCGGCCTAAACTTCTAGTCTGGCCACCGGAATACAATAACTGAAAAGTATACTTATTACTTATTAGTTATTACTTACAGAATGTATATAATTTGAAGTATCTTAAGTATAGGTACATATATATATATATATATATATATATATATATATATTGTTCAATAGCTAATAGGTACTTACAACTTTACAAGTCATAACACCATGCAAGGTACACTGGTAGATAGTAGATATATACTGTAGAGATATTGTCACGGTTATTAATATATTTCATAGATAGATCATACGAGGTAAGTTATTATAGTTGTAAATATCTAACACACTTAATTTTATCATAATAATAATAATAATAATAAAATATCATTAAATTAATTGTTTTATCGATAATAATTATAAAATGGGGTACAGTTAAGGATCTACTACTTAGAAATTAAAAAATTTAAATAAATGATCCAAGAAAAAATTATAATTTTTAATTTAAAAAAAAAGACTAGTATATATATTATACTAGGTTTTAAATGCATCTATTCACATTAATACTTAGATGAATGTGAATAGAATATAGAAAAAATATTGGAATAACACCTACTTTTAATCTTTTATAATCCTAATTTATAAACAGAAAAAAGTTATACAATTATATAACTATTTGGATGGTATATATAATCACGATTAAAATTATTTAATAACAGATTAAAAATGAACCTTCATTCAAATGATGGACAAAACATTTTTAAATAGATCAAAGTTTAATATTTATATGTATAGCTATTATAAGTAGGAATTTAAAGTTACTTAACAACTATCTACATAGTAGATTGATAAATGAATAAAGATTGAATTTTAAGTACTTAAAGGTCAAGCAGGAAATTTATATAATTTGCACTGAATAACTTGCCTGCATCTGTGCATTTACTGAATATTTTTTTAACAAAAGATTATAAGTAGGTATTTTAAAACAAAAAATACACTAATAAATAACGTGGAATTGTAGACAAATATTTAAAATGTTAACTGTAGTTTGTAGGTACTAGGTACCTATATATTTCATAAGCATAGTTGTATAGTGTAAGTTTAATTACTTTCAAATTTTTTAAGACTTAAACATCAATGGATATTTACCTACTCTTACAGTTTAAGTTGGTGCTTAAAATACTACTTAGAAGTTAAATTTAATTCTAATGATAATATTTACAATAATTGTAATTAGAATTATTCTAACAATTTTTAGAGATTAAGCTTAAATACCAATATTAGGTAAATTCTAAATTATTGTTTCGAATTAGTATTATTTATGAGTTAAAATGACTATTATTATAAAAGGTCTAAAAACAAGTATTTGTCAATTGTTAGTTTTTTTGAATTATTATTAATTAGTCCTCTAAAAATGTGAATTTAAAAAATAACATACCTTTTTTAATAATACTAAGTTTTATTTGTCATTAAATAATTATATTTAATAATATTTTGAATTTTTGAATGATTAAAATAATATTTAAATTAGAACAAGTACAAAATAGGTATATGGGTATTTATAGTTGCATAAAATATAAATATTACCTGTCATAAAAGATTGACAATGGATTATGTTGAAAATATAACTTAAAATAAATAAACACCAAAGAGTTGATTAAAGAACAGCCCGAGTTCTATAGATTAACTGACCAAGGACGGTATTTTTTTTTTTACTTTTGACCCTAATATAGTGTGATTTCAAAATAGGTATTAATCGTTTAATTGAATAATTAATAATAACTTAAATAATTATTCCGAGTTAACAAACAATAACAATACATCATATTTACATGCAATTTTATAATACGAGAAGTTTCAATAAATTATCATAATCGTGTACGATGTCTCAATACCTCGATCTAAATGATTTTGTAGAATAAATTAACGTTTTAGTATATAGTAGTAACCTATATAGCTCTAGTGTTCTAGCTAATATATGACTGTAATGATGTCTAACCTATTAATACCTATGTTTGTGTTTAAATTAAGTAAGTATCATATATGTGCCTATAATATGTATGAGACCTCAAAGTCCAGTTGTATTATAATATATGTTCAAATGAAATCGCATTGTCATAATGTCTAATTAAAAATGACAAACAGGAATTGGAAATCCAATTAATTACATAAGTAATTAAGCAAAATCCTGCAAAAAAAAAAAAAATTGTAATATCTATTTTATGTTGATGAAATGCACAGACACACACGACGATACATATAATATTATAGTAGATATTGTATTTCATTATTTAATAGTCCAATAAAAGTTCTAATTATTTATGTATGTCTGACATAACTTAAAAAAATAAATAAAATAAAGGCATTCGTTAATGTTAGATATTAACTAGTGTAATCACTTATACTGGTAATTTAGGTAATACTTATTACTTAATATTTATAAAATATTTTTTTTTTGGATATAATCGTGAGTTGTGAAATTGTAAGTAATAAGATACATTACATTCTATACATAATTAAGTTTTTAATTCGTTCAAAGACAAGGGCAGAGTGGGAACCAAATTTAGGCCTGGGGATTTAAATTTATCCAGATCACCTACCTTTTACCAATCAAATCGCCAAACATTTTTTTCATTTTTAAAACCTATAAAAATATAGTATAAACAAAAGCATTTCAATGATAATTGTTTGTAATACAAATAAATAAATTTTATTTTTTTATAATACAGTAAATCCTATCTGTCTTATCTAGACTCTTGATACTAGAATCCTATTCTGTACGAAAATTTATTATGGTAACTGTCTATAATTTAATTTAGGATTAAACCCTTGATAAAACGGAACCTGTCTAACGATTCTAACGTAAAATAGAAAACTATTTTTTGGTCACGTAAATCATATATTATACGCCTTTAACAAACAGAAAACATATCATAAAATGAATAAAAATATTTTTGATACGCATAGTTATTTTGCTATTAAACAATTATTAAGGTCAGCGATTAATACGTATCGATAAATAGGTAATTGCATTTTATCTTAAATCTATATCATAAGAGCTTATTAGGGCGATTGTAAATTCCACCGATTTATAGGTAGACGAATTTTGGGTTGAATTTAAAACATGTAATTTCCACTTGTACGTTTTTTTTTTCTGAGAAAAAATTTAAATTCCACCGGTACGTATTTTTGAGCTGAAAACATGTCAACTCCACCGATGGTAAAATAAGTAACTACTAACTAATGATCATTATTAATTATTACATATTTTTTTAAATTTTTTTAAAAAATAATATAATTATCTAAATTTTAAATATATTACCTTTACCTATGTATAAATTAGAAATCTATATATAAATTATGTACCTATTATCTATTGTAACTTGTTATTATTATTGCTTACCATTGTTTTATTGTTTTTGCGTGCTTAATAATTTGGGAGTTACCCGTTCGTGCCAAAAAAAAAAAAAAAAAATGAAAGTTATAGAAGAAAGTGAAAAAGGAAATAGTGTTAAATCATTAATGAATGTTTTTAATGCGGGAAAATAAATTGAAAACATACAAGGAAGTACTTATTTACATCAAGACTCTGGAAAAATTTTCAATGAATAAATGTGATAGTGAGTTAAGTATTGGAAATGATATCATGGGCAAAAATACAAATTGAAAAAAGCATTGTTAAAGAAAAAAACCAAACAAAAAACTTTACACGAATTTTTGAATTTTTGATTGTATTTTAACCTGCTTACTGAATTTTATTATATTATTATTTTATTAATACCTACTAAATATGTTTTTCAAATTTTGGGATTTTGTTATGAGTTTTTAATTTATCATTTTGTTAAAAATTAAAATTTATTGTGTAGCCTATGATATTTATTATTTTTCAATGTTTTCATTTTTATTATTGGTCTGAAAATGTTGTAACCTTAATCATGTAAAATATTGGAATTTTGTAGTACGGAATTTTCCTTTTTATTCAGTTACTTGGAAATCTGACTAAAACAGAAATTTTTATTGGTCCCACTCCCGTGCAATTTCGCACAAGGTAAGTTTTACTGTATATTATTACTACTTTCAGTATATTACCTACATCCATGCCCATTGCCCATGCTTCTATAGCGTTTAGAAAAATAACTAAACCGATTAGTAGAATTTTTTGACATTTCTATTTAATAAAATAAAGACGTTCAATGTAAAAAATCTTTTTAATGAATAAAATATTATTAGGCTGATTTAAAAACAATTAATTACGTTATTTTCGAAAAACTATTAGCAACACGTGTTTTAAAGCATTAAGTTAATATTTGCATTATAAAACAGTTTTCTATTAATATTCATTGATTACATTTACAAAGAATTCATTCTCATAAAATACTAAAACTATGGATTTTAACCACGATTTTGTAAAACCATTGACCTTACTTCCTTTTCGACTTAGAAAATATACGTATTTTAAAAAGGCAAATATCTTCAAGCCAGTGCGAATCTCAAGTTTAGTCATGCTAAATATTGGAACAATTAAGTAATACACTTTTAGTATCTATAATATATAAAGTGTAATAAAATTCTATTAATGTGTTTGCAATTTAATTGTAATATTGTGTTATGAGTCATGACAATGTTTCTGTCATGATTAACACAAATAGTTTTCTGTAAAATGTTTGTACTTTTTGTAAATATTTTACTCAATTGATGTCCAATCTTTATTTTTCGACAGGCCACTATAAAATTTAATAATAAAAATAAAATGATAAAATTTAAGTATCCTAAAAATAATTGTATTTTTATTAATTTTGTTTAACTAACAAATTATACACAGATTACTGGTTGGATATTATGGTTTTACATCATTTGGTGTGGTAAATTATATCCGGTTCAAAAAGAATCTATATCAAAAATATCCGGCTAAAAAAAAATAATGTAAAATACAAATATATAAAAATTATAATTAAAATTTTAGAAAAATTATCTATAAAAATGTAGAATATTATAAAATATAATAAGTGGATGGATGGTCCACCGTCTACCTTATAAAAAGATTACTTTATATGTAGAAAACGGTAGGAAAAACCATGAATAAACGAATTTAATCTGCTCTCAACGATTTATCAGACATAAATTATTATTGAAATGGAGATAGCCTAATATCTGTTTTTTTGATTTTAGTATAGTTGTACCTATACTCGTATCTAGTCGTATGCAAACGTGTATTTTGAAAATAACGTTAACATTTAATAATGCCTCTTACATTCGTAAAAAGCCAAAAGGCATAAAATATGTTTATAAATAAAGGTTTTTTATATAGTATTCATAATGTGTATGAAACAAAAGTAGTAAGTATGGCATTGTATCGAGTATAAAATATTATTTACTTTTAATCATCTTGAACAACAACTAATATTTTATCTGACGTTTTTAAAAATGATGAAAATAGAATTATAATTTCTAGATATTTGTATTTTATATTAATTTTTTAATTGCCTAAAACAATAATTCATATTTTACCTGACGTTATCAAAAATTATGAAAATAAAATTATGATTATAATTTCTATATACAGTAGACGCCGCTTATAAGACTCACTTTGGGACCAGCACAAAGTGAGTCTTATAACCGAATGAATCTTAAAGGCGAAGTGGAAAAAAAAAAATTAATTACGTATTTATAAATTTTATTTTACTACATATTTTTCTTTGATTTTAATACATTAACACATATTACATATTATATACTTTATTATTGAATAAATTTAATAATCCCAATAAAAAAAAACTAAAATTATAATCGTTATAATATTATCGTTGCGATAAATGTGAAATTTTATCTGCGATAAAAATTATTATACGTTATAAGATACCAACAGAAACTAGTAATAATCAACACGAATATTATTTCATTTTTCAAAACCAATTTATTTCTAAATTATAACCAAAAAAGTTTATTTTCTAGTATTTATTTTACGAAATTTGAGTCTTATAACCGAAGTGTTGAGTTTTAAAACCAATCTTTTTTTAATGTATTTGGATACGTTCGGACCGTTCCAGACGATTTCGAGTCTAATAAGCGACTGAACCTTATATCCGTGTCTTATAAGCGGCGTCTACTGTATTTGTATTTTATATTATTATTTTTTATAACTGGACGTTTTTTTAGTCGGATATTTTTGATACAGGTTCTTTTTGAACCGAACCAAATGACGGGTCACTGATGTTACTAGTCTATAGCATACATAAGATTGACTTTTCTTCTTTTAATAAATAATATTTTATATTTTATAAAGTTAAAAAAGTACAGGAATATTTGGTACGAATTGAAGATTGCTCTAATCAGAAGTAACAGAGTAATGGGGTACTTAGGGCCAGATTTACACCTAGGACCGAGAGGCCCGGACCTTGGGCGTCAAATTTTGTAAGAAATAGAAAAAAAAATATACATTTTTATGCATTTAATATTTATGTAACTACATAAATTAATATTATATAATATTTAAAAGCATAGAAGTAAATCCATGAATTTAAGAAATAGATACTAGGTACATTTTTTTTTTTTTCTTGGGATTGGGGTAACATATTTAAAAGGACCTAGAGTAGCACCTGTTCTAAATCCAGTGCCGGCACTGGAGGTACTACTGTTAAAAAAAAAAAAAAATAAAAACAATAATGGTAATTGGTTAAAAGATCTTGAAAGTTAAAATTTGTTTTTACAAATTCCATCACTAAACTTATTGG